TTTGCACATTGTTGTGCTACATCGTCATTCACTCAATGCCTCATTTCTCAACTTCTCTGTGTGATAGTTCCTTTTATACCTTTCTTGTACAATCATGATGTCGCATAGCATGCTTGTAGTGTTCTGATGTTAATTGCATGCTTCAGACTGGGGCTAGTAAAGTGTTGTTAATTTTCTAGAAGCCAAGAAACGCGCACCTCTGGACCCTAGCTAAAAGCATATGGATAAACTGAAATTGTCAACAAAGCATTCTTTGACGATCCATGCTTGGATGCACCATCATGTACATAGAACCAGCTAGCATGCCAAGGTACCACATATATGCATATCCAACTAGCATGACATATGGTGGATCAACAAAGCCATCCCACATGGCGTTTTTTTTAACGACACATGGTATTGTTAGATTAACACTTGCCTTTGGTGCCAAGGGAGCTCTTTAATTTCAAAGTGTAAGGTTTGACCAGATAAAATGGTGAAATGGGACAACTATCTACCATGAATCTACAGTTTTTTGGACCACATATATAAAGTATTAAAAATATATTTTCCAATGGGTCCCCATTATATTTTTAACCAGTGCTTGCTTTACAGATTAATTACAAACATATCCCTGAGAAACTGAGTGAAAAACAAAATGTGACCACCACATAAGATGATATATATGTGTTGGTAATAAAAAGGAACAACACACACATATATATCGCTTCCAGGGGAAAAAGGGACATCATATCTGATTATATAAATAATTAAGCAGCTCTCTCTGATCAGTCCCTTAATCATGTCCTTTACTTGTTAGTCATAACAGCTTTCACTGACTTATTATTAATAAATCATATCGGCAAATTATCTTCAGCTGAGCTGTATTAGAAAAATAATGTTTGGCAATCTACTCATTCGAACTTTGGCCCTTTCTTTTTCACGAAAATTTAGTTTAAGAGTACAAGTCATGACGTTTTTAGTTATATTAAGTTAGTCATTCCAAGTTTTGGCTGCATGCTACTTTTCTATATACCCCTCATCCAAAAAAGGAGGGGTTTTGTTTTTGTGTTAATTTCCCTACGTGAAGTTTACACATTTGAAAATGATAAAAGTAGATTTGTGTCGAAGGTTTTATAGAAATGTACGCTCTATAAATCTTTTGTAATAAAAATTACTAGTCAAAGTTGTGTTTTGAAGATCGTGTCAATACACATTAAGGTCATTTATTTCGTTATATATTTGTGACTAGAGGGAGTAATATATACTCCTATATAATAGTAAATGGGAAGGGGAGGAACAGGAGACAAATGCCTCTGGTGTTTCATAGGGCCAAAAAAAAGTGTCATCTCCTTTTGTTTGTGCAATGGCTACATGCTAATTTGTAATCCTAGATTTCCTTTTCTTTCTTACCTTTTTTGTTTCGTGAGTTTCTACTGTGTGTATAACTGTTGTTTTAAAAAAAAAAAAGATCAGTAGGACAAGTGGACAACAACCCCTCCTGTTTCTTAAAAGAAAAAAAAAGAACAGGAGAGACAATTATGAAACAGGAGTCTAATATATAGCAGAAGTAAAAAAACGAGCAGGTACTCTTGTCCATGTCGCGTATGCTTTTGTCTCTTATTATGATTAGGTTGTTGGCCTATCAGTGCATCAGTCAGAGTAACCATGTGCTACTGAGCGCTTCGGTTGTCGGCAGACAGGTACAAGTTTCTGTACTAAATCAGAGATGGGAGCATGCATCAAATTGGCCTATGATATCAGTTCAGAGATTTCAATAGCTGTTTTTGCCTGGAATGCATCTCTTTCCCATTATGGTTGGTCTTAGAATGCATCTCTTTCCCATTATATGGTTAGTCCCTTGTGGCACACTCAACCTCTGAATTATAGATGGTGTGTTCTTCCCAGTGATGCCAATTTACTCACTATTTTGGCGAGCTCACGTTTTCGAGTATCAGTCCTCTTAATCTCTGATAAAGCTTGTTCGTTACTACTGATCACATTCTCATCAACTATCTTGTAATGCCTCAATATGTTCCGGAGGACCTCCCAGTGTACCTCGACATACCCCTCGTATTTGTTGAATAATGCAGGTATTGTAACCAAAGCAATGCATGGTTCCTGTTATGCACGTGTTGTAACAAAATCAGCAATGAAATTCAGACAAAATTGTGAGACCCACCTCATCGGCCGAATTGCAGTTGGGCCGGGCTACTGTAGCCATAGCGTTGAATTCTGAGTCCGCCGAACCAACTTAAATAGCCAGACAAGGACGCGTAGTAACCTTCGGTTAACCGTTTTGCGCGAAGCGAGGACGAAAGCGCAAGCGGGTTGCTACGGAGGTGGGGCCCACCCCTCGGCAGAGTGGGCCTAGGCCGTGTGCCGGGCCTGGGGTGTTGCAAATGGTATCAGTGCCAATTCTCGCAGTTTCACGGTGCGTATGTTCTGGAAGCCTGGATAGGCTGTGCATGACTCCAGAGATAGGGCATGACACCTAGGCTGGAGAACTGGAAATATGAACGTGGCCAAGAGAGTCGATCCTGATCATTTGTCCCGTATGGATAAGCTGGTTCGATAGCTCAACGAGGACGTCGATCCCATTGAGGGTGTGTGGATATGAGACCCAGCTCATGGACCGAATTGCGGTTGGGCCGGGCATTGTAGCTATAGCGCTGAATTAGGATATGTTAAATTCAAGTACTGTAGCGCCATGCAACCAGACGTTTAGTACTGTACCGTGATTTCTGAGTTCGCCGAACCAGCTTAAATAGCCTGGCCAAGGACGCGTAGTAACCTTCGGTTAGCTGTTTTACGTAAAGCGAGGACGAAAACGCAAGCGGGTTGCTACGGAGGTGGAGCCCACCCCTCGGCAGAGTGGGCTTGGGCCGTGTGCCAGACCTGAGGTGTTACAAAAATGAACTGAAGACAAAGCAGATACGTATAAGATTCTGCTTGCCCTTTGGTACTGTCTATTCCTAAATGTAAGGCGCAAAGTGTAAAGTATGATCTGTGCAGGACATACCTATGTAAGTAAGAGTGATAGACGAACATAAATTGCTGATAACAGATAGCAGCCAAAGGACAGGCACAACCTGTGAAGACAATTTTCTGTCTCGGCAACGACAGGAATAACAAATGACAACAAAAAGAAGTAGAGCTAACCTGGAAAAATAGCCGGAAGTCCTTGCCAAGAGTAAAGTCATGTGTTATCATCAGCATGTTGTTAATTTTAACACGGAATGAGGACACAGTGTTGCTAATCATCTCCTCTGATAAAACTAACTCAGCTAGTGGCCTAGGCTGCCTGCGAAAGTTAACCAGTAGGAGTATGAAATAACACATACTACAGTCAATTCGATCCAAATTTGAGATAGAATGGAAGGAGGATTCGGGTTGATCACCTATTTAGTATTCCAGCTATTTTAATTAAGAGTAGAGTCCGGGATCAGACGGACTTGCTTAAATTCATGCACAAGTCCGTCCAAAAAGAGGCTTCAGGACGAGTACGACCGTTACAAGCAATCACATGATGCTGTCGTTGGCCTTGCAGGTACCTTTTTTTTTTTGTCCTGGATAGGATGGATAGAGAGGCATGTACTGAAAGTCTGAAATAAAGATTCATTCGGTACATTTAATTAAGAGTGAGATTATGTATGTATATGCATCATTAGTGGCTGCCAAGGCACATATTAGTTGAACACTTTGTGTCACTGAACTTGTTGAATTGGTATGGTATGTGTGGGCCATATGGGGTACTGTGCTCTTTAATTTGGCTCTGTTTATATGTGAATGCGATGTGATGTGGAATGTTTGAGGTTTACAGGAGGCGTCCATTGGCATGGGAATGAATTGACATTTTACCACGACTGGTTGATTTTTCATGGGTTATATAGTACTAGCATGCATGCATGTCATGCCTGCACGAGTTGACTTTTTTCACGTACTGATTATCTTGTAGGAGTAAAAAAGAAGTCTCCACTTAATTGGCCGGTACGAGGAGCTGGGATGATATGAGATAATGAGATGCTGGATTATTCATCCCTCGATCGACAGCTAGCTCGGTTGGAAGGAATGGCAGCATCCACGACCCATAGCCACAGTGAACACTGAACACAGTGCACTGGTGGCGGTGCTCTGAAGTCAAAAGATGGACAAAAGGCAAGGAGGGACCGACTACCTACAAGGCTACAATGCAAGGACAAGCAAAAAAGGAGTAATGTCATCTCTGACTGCCATGCATGCCTCCCTCCTCAACAACACCTCACCAAAACCATATGCAGTGTTGTTTAGTACGACCGACAATCATTCATTCACAACTCTCTTTCCCTCTCTTCTCTGTTCTCTCTACTCCATCTGACCATCTCCACAGATGATGATATATAGGGCATGGGCGCATGGCATTTCCATGGTTGCCAAGTACTTCTGTAATCATGCATAATAAAAAAATTACTTCTGTAATCAGATCAGGTGCTAATTGCCGTTTTAGACAGATTCTAATTGCACGGTGGCATCCATTCTTTCTTGCATAATAAAAAAATTACTTCTGTAATCAGATCAGGTGCTAATTGCCGTTTTAGACAGATTCTAATTGCATAGTGGCATCCAATCTTTCTTGCTAATCCCACCGACGGACGCATGTGTGGACAATGTAATGCTCCTTAATTAGACCGTAGCACTAGCATCAACTAGTGACGATGTCCAGATATTATACAGTTGCATTTCTTCTATTCTGCAAAGGGAAGCACAACTTCTTCCTCTATCTTAGCTTCTTCTTCCTCGAAAAAAGAAGAGAGGCAACTTGTTAGCCCAAAACAAGTGTCCAAATATAGTTTACCAGGCTAATGCTATTAACCAAATGAACTTGTTTAGAAGTTGCTTATTTTATCTTTTGTGAAACTTAGAAGGACCAAATGAGCCTTGGCTAACTTTCGTTTATGAAGGCCTACACGCACACACGCTCGCATCTATGAATGAACTCATACGCTGAAGCAGTTGGTGCAGGGTTCGGAGAGGATAATGGGATGGGGTCTGACAACGATCTCGGCCTGTCAGCAGAGTTTGGCGGGGGCAAGGAGAGTGGTGAGGCTGTCAAGATGGGTGGAAGATGCTCCAAGTGTTCAAAGAAGGGACATCAGGCTGCAGGGAGGTGTACTGTGTGATTTGTGACTCGCATGATCACATGAATCACAGATGTCCTCTCCTCAAGGCGCCGAGGCCTGTGGCTCATGCTGCGGGTTACGCTGTGATGGGTTTGGGATTCTATCATGTCCCTCATCTGCCATTGCCGAGGGTGAAGAAGGATTCCAAGATGGCTCGAGTGTCAGTAGTTGGGGGTACTCTGTTAGGCGACCAACTGATCATGCATCTAAAGAGGGTTGTGCCGGTTAAATGGAATTGGGAGCTAAAGGATCTTGGAGAAGGTAAATTTCTTACCCAGTTCCCTTCCAAGACCGAGCTACAACGTTCAATTGCTTATGGAGGGGCTGATGCGAAGGGAGAGGGAGTGCCAGCTGGTACTCGGTTGCAGTTCGAGGAATGGCAAGAAAAGCAAGAAGGTTTTTTGTTGCCTAAGGTCTGGGTGAGGGTGAGGTGTATCAGACAGCCGCTGTGTGAGTTTCTCATTTTGTGGGCAGTGGGGTCCCTGTTGGGTTCGACTCAAACAATGGACATGGAGACCACACGGAAAAACGAGTTGGTCAAATCTTGGTCGCTGTACTTGATCCTAAGCTGATTCCAAGGAAGTTGGATGTAGTTATTGGTGACCACTATTTTGACTTCGAGTTCGAAGTTGAGAAGAGAGGTTTTGATGAGAATGGAGAGGAGGCTGACATTGAGTGGGATGGTGGAGAGGATGAGGGGGAAGGAGAGGGGAAGAAGCAGGGTCCGAACAGCGAAAGTGGTCTTGATGATGACCAATCAAACGAGAGGACTAACAAGCATGCTAAAGGGAATGATGGGGGAGACAGTGGGGAGGGGAAAAGGAATGATTCTCAGTCTAAGATGGAGGCTCCAGCTAATAAGGGACACTTTTTGAGTGAAGATGAGTTTCTGGAGTTTCTTAATTGGAAGGGCAGCAAGGTGATTGAGGTAGTTGTGGATGAGGTTTTGAAGGATGCAGCCACAAAGGTGATGGAGGAGAAGGAGGGGTCCTGGGAGGGGGCTTCGGTGACACCTGATTTCACTGGTGTCCTCTCTGCTGGGACAGAAGAAGAGGTGACACCTGATTTCACTGGTATCCTCTCTGCTGGGACGAAAGAAGAGGTGCAGGCGATGGAGGTGGAAGAGGTGTAGCTGTATCTCAGATGGAAGAGTTGGAGAAAGTTCCAGAGGTGGGTGTGGAGGTGGAAGGAAAGGGATGCTGCATGACGGTGACCCAGGATGGTCTTGCTGATGCAAAGCTGGTGGGTGCTGCGATGATTCCAGAGGTCGTGCTCTCCCCAACCAGGATGAGTCCGCGACTGGCTGGTGTGGCTGCTGAACACACTCTAGTGCGGGCAGAGCGTTTAGTGCAGTCCAGGAATCTGGAGTGCAACAAAGGTAACAAATCCACGGACCCCTCTTGTTTTTCATCCATTTCAAAGGCTGTGGATAATCTGCGGATGTTAGGCTTAGGGGTGGGCAGTAATATTTGTACTTCTTTTGAAATGAACGTCCAGAACTTAGTGGAAGGGGATTTAGTTTGTAGAGGGTCTAGTTCTGTTCTGGGGACAGAGAAGGCGGAGTTTTCGGATGTTGATTCAGTTGAATCAGAGGGTTTTGAGAGGAAAGCACTAGAATTTTTGTGTCTGGATCTAATGGAAGAAATCTTCGATGATGACAGTTATCACCTAATTAGTGATCTTAAAACCATTCAAAGGAAGCCCGGTGCTAAGTCGTCACGAAAGAGGGCTTCGAGAAAGATGAAGATAAGGATTAACAAGATTAGTGCGAAATGAGGGGAATTTCTGGAATAGCAGAGGTCTGCGCAACTTGGCTATAACCAAATTTCTGAGTAACACATCAAGGGAGCAGGGACTAGATTTCATTGCTCTCCTGGAAACCGGTAAAAAGGAATTTACACAAGCTAAGCTTGATAGGTACTGTGGGGGGAGGAATTTTGTGTGGCACTGGACTGAACCACATGGAAGGTCAGGAGGTATGCTACTAGGAGTGAATCTAGATGTTTGCGATGTTGGAAGTATCGAGGAGGGAGATTTCTTTATCAAGTTTCACCTCAGAAATAGAAGTGATGACTTTCACTGGTGCTTAGTAGCGGTCTATGGGGAAGCTCAACTAGAGTTTAAAGAGAAATTCCTAACTAAATTAGTACAGGCGTGCAGGAAAGTCTCTCTTCCTCTACTGGTTGGTGGAGACTTTAACATAATCAGAAATCCAAGTGAGAAAAATAATGATAACTACGATGGCCGATGGCCCTTTTTATTTAATGCCATCATAGATGGGTTAAATTTAAGGGAGATCGAGATGTCGGGAAGAAAATTCACTTGGGCCAATTCAAAAAATGTTCCAACTTACGAAAAAATAGATAGGGTACTAGCCAGCACATAATGGGAGCAAAAATTCCCCCTAGTTACTGTTGATGCATTGAATAGGGAAATCTCTGATCACACTCCCCTTCTGCTTTGCTCAGGTGAGAGGGTGCAAAGAAGTAGCCAACCTGAGTTCAAATTTGAACTTAGTTGGTTCCTTCAAAAAGATTTTTTTGAGACGGTCACGAGGATTTGGAGAAGTGTAGATTATGGATCTACCCCAATGAAGAAATGGCAGAATAAGATTAGGAGGTTAAGGCAAATTTTGAGATGATGGGCAAGAAATGTGAACGGAAATTTTAGAAAAGAAAAGGAGGAGCTGTTTCGACTAGCAGGGGATCTGGATATAAAAGCAGAGTCCTAGATATTGAGCCAGCAAGAGCTAGACCTGAAGCAAAGTGTGAACGAAAGAATCACACAATTTCTTTGGGAAGAAGAAATCAAGTGGTTCCAAAGAGCAAAGACTAAGGATATGCTAGAAGGGGACAACAATTGTAAATATTTTCATATGGTGGCCAACGGAAAAAGGAGGAAAACAAGGATTTTTTTTCAGCTTGAAAGAGAAGGGGAAGTAATTGAAGGACATGAAAACTTAAAAGTTTTCATAACAAAATATTATAAAGATTTGTTTAGGTCATCACAGAGAAATAACTTCTCTCTTGATGAATCACAAATAAATGATATACCTCAGATTAATGAGGAAGAAAACAAATTGTTAATAGAAGAGTTTATAGAAAAAGAGGTAAGAGAAGCGATTTTTCAAATGAAACATAATAAGCCACCAGGCCCTGACGACTTCCCGACAGAGTTTTACCAAGTTTTTTGGTCTCTCATTAAAGATGACTTAATGGCCATGTTTAGAGAGTTCCATGTTGGTAATTTACCTCTATTCAATCTGAATTTTGGTACAATTACTCTGATTCCAAAGCAAAAAGGAAGTCAAACAAATCCAATAGTATAGGCCTATTTGTATGCTCAATGTGAGCTTCAAGATATTTACTAAGGTATTGGCTAACATGCTAACTGTTGTGGCAGACAAAGTAGTGAGACACTCACAAACAACATTTATGTCGGGAAGAAACATTCTGGAAGGAGTTGTGATATTGCCTGAGACAATTCATGAACTACACAAAAAAAGAAAAATGGGGTCATACTAAAATTGGACTTCGAAAAAGCTTATAATAAAGTCAATTGGTCCTTTGTGCAGCAGACTCTTAGGATGAAGGATTTCTCACCTATTTGGTGCAATTGGATCGAAGAGGTTATGAGTCTAGGAAGTGTGATGATCAAAGTGAATGAGGTGGTCGGCCATAACTTCTAGACCAGAAAAGGACTGAGACAGGGGACCCCCTCTCACCTACCCTTTTCAATTTGGTCGTGGACATGTTGGCTATCCTCGTTTTAAGAGCAAAAAGTTGTGGTCAGTTTAGAGGCTTGGTACCTAACCCAGTTGATGAGGGGTTGTCTATTTTGCAGTATTGTCGAATACCATAGAAAGGGGTACCCTAAGCAAGAACCGAAAAAATTGCTTAGACCTTGTAAATACCAAAGCCAAGAGACAACCACGCGGGCCTCGGCCGATTCTCCGATTCGCCCAAGGCTCACGCCGCAAGGCCTCGACAGATTCTCCGGTTCGCCCGAGGCCCACACCGCTAGGCCTCGGAAGAGCTACCAACTCTCCGCCTCGCCCGAGACCCCTCGCCCGAGGCCCCACCCAAAAGGCCTCGGCGAGGTACCGATTCTCCGTCTCGCTCGAGGTCGGCTCGGCATCTGTCCCGCCATAGCTTTAACCGACCACCCTGATATAGCGTCACACTCAACCAATGCGTCCAACCACTCCCGCAACATCAGCCACACTCCGGCGCGGTACAGCAGAGTGGCCGACGGGACGGGAGTCACATCAGCGCCATGCAGTCCGGGATAGGACGGGGCAAGGGTTACCGGCCACTGTGCTCGGCACTGTGCCCCCTGCTGACGCCCGTACTGCATTATGCTACCTAACTCCTGCTCCGAGGACAGCGCGGCGTGGAGAGTCAGGTCCGGGTCCTAGTAGCCTCGAAATCAGTGTACAGGACCAACTGCTCCCTCTGAGCCTCGGCAATCCGGTTCAAGGTCTCGGCAGCCTCGGGATTCGAGCCCGCCGAGCCCCCCATGATGGCGCGGCCTCGCCACCAACTGAGCCTCGACTCTTTACGCTGTCAACACTCTGGCAGCGGCACATCGCCCGTAGAACGCGCCATACCCTGCGTTAGGTGGTAGGAACTCCCACGTCGCGTACAGGGCTGAGCTCCTGTATCTTCGGAGTCAGCACACCCGCGCCATCGCATCAACCCGGCCTCGGCACTCCGCGCCGGTCCAACATACAGCAATCGACACGCTTCCAACGCACCTACCACCACAGGAGCTCCCACGTCGCATAGAGCCAGGCGTGACCGGCGCGTCGCTCCATAGTACCAAGGACAAGACCACTCCATCCACCATACCGCCGCAGTAGCGAGCTACAAGGCTCGGCATGTCGCCTCCGCTCACACCACGCACCACGTAGCAAACGCATGTACCGCCCCTGTCCTCTCCTTCAACTATAAAAGGGGGCGACCGGGGCCATTTGTAGGGGGAGGGGAGACACCCGACGAGCGCACACACACACACTCACGGAAACATCGCTCAGATAAACACACGCGCAAGAAACGAGTAACACTGTAACACACACGCTCCTCACTGTGAGAGATCAACATCTCAAGCAACCCACGCCACTCCACGCAGGGACCTAGGACTAACCCCCTCTCTCGCCCTGCTTGTAAACCCCTACTACAAGCACTTCGGTGCAAGGAATACAAGATCGCTCTCTCAGATTGGATGTAGGGCACCTATTACCTGAACCAGTATAAACCTTGTGTCTCTTTGCATCACTATCCGGGATAGGGACACGCAGTACTTTTTCACTCGTTGGTTGAGGACCCGCCTGTCCTAAACACCGACAGTTGGCGCGCCAGGTAGGGGATCATACTGCGTGTTAGCTTAATCATCCCAACAAGTTCCAGATGGCAGACCCCGTGCGACCTCTACGTCTCGGCATGGTGATCTGGTTTGGGAGCCTAGAGTTCATGTCTCTAGGATACGATTACGACCTAGTACTCCTCCCATCCAGAGCCCCGTTGGCCGACAACAACATCACGCACCAGCAGCCCAGGCGCGAGCGGCGCCCGGGCCGCCGCTGTCGTCGTGCTCGCTAGGCACGACGTGAGCAGAACCACCCCAACACCGCGCAAGTTTAGGGCAACGCACCGCGCCCCACTAGTTTCCCATGCCCGGCCGCTGGCGTAGAGTCCCTGGCTGGGAACTTGTCTGGCTTAAGCCTGGGCAAGGGAAAGACGCCGGTGGCGCGCAGCGACGCCCTGCCATCAAGCTCTGCCCCGCCACCTCTTGAGGAATCGACTTTGGTGGAGCAGAACTCGGCGATGGCACCATCCCCGTACCCCTTCGGGTTGAGCAATGCCGCCGCCTACGCTTCCGCTCACGCGGAGCCCTCAGGACGCCACCAACGCTTCACTCTCGACCTCTTCGCCACAACCTCGACCCACACCCACGCTGACTCCTCGGAGGAGGACGAGGCGTGGGCTGGAGCGGACTTCTCTAGGCTTCGCGACCCTGAAGCCGTGTGCCGCTTCACGGCCACGAGCGACTACTGCTTCGGCTATTCCGACTCCGATGACGAAGGCACTTACAACCCCACTCATGAGTGCATCATTGTTGAGCTCGGGATGCCGAGAGCGGGCGATGAAGACGGAGGGGCAGGCAATCGCTCCCCGCCCCGTGAGGGGGTAGGCGACGCCACACCTCCACGCGTCGAACCTTCAGCAGCGCGGAACGAGAACCCCGCCCACGAGGGACTTCAATGCCTTGACTTGGAATAGCTCCGCGAGCTCCAAGCCAAGGTCAAAAAATACCAACTCCTTCTATAGCAGCTCCGAGACACTCTCGAGCGAGAGCAGCGGGGTTGCGGTGACGGCGGAGCAGCCCGGCGGAGGGCTCACGACGTCTACCACCGCATCAACAATGATGAAGGGGGCGAGCAACCCCCTATCTTCAATTGCGCTAGCCAGAACATTGCGGCAGCGGCGATGCTAGTCCGAAATATGCCCAAGCCATCTACCTCGGAGGGGCGACGGGTCCACGGCGAGCTCCGAGACCTTCTCGAGACCGCCGCGGTATAGCAGGCCGAAAGTTCCACGTCTCGACAGCGCGGGGACACCTTGAAACGGCCCTCGGTGCACGACCGCCTCAAGGCCCCCTCAGTGCATGACCTCCTCAGCGACCGACGCGAGGCGCAAGACGACCACGATGTGGTCAGCAGGCGACGGTGCCATGACAATGATGGGCTTGCCCGAGGCTACCACCCGCACCGAGGT